CTACACAGTGGCAGATATATTTTAGAATTCAAATGTTCAGGTTTGGCTGGTAAATCCCACTTACAAATATAAAGAGCTCAATACGAAAAGTAATTTTCATGGATATTAACTTATTGTTATGAGCCTATTTTAAACGCATGCTTCAGTTACTTTAGAGTAAATCAGCATAATGTAAAAGCAGTTTTCAGTGTTTGTATCTGTGGTGTTTGTGTGGGTGGGTAAGAGAAAGAGACAGAGGCGGCATAATTGAAGATATTTTAGCACACTTGCTCTGCCTTAAACAATACAAAATAAACCCTGAATCCTTCCAAATGTTACAGTGTAACAAAACAGTGTCAAAATGGTTTCATAAGTATCATATTGGCCTTTGTTTAGAGGAAGTATTTCTTGAATATTCTAATACGTTGGTTGGTTTAGTTAGTTAGTTAATATCTCTCCCCAGATAAATGAAAGAACATATTATGGTTTTTTGTATATGTTCTTGCTGCGAAACCATGCTTTCTTTGTTTTATTTAGGTAAGTGGCAGTGTTCGTTATGCTGTTAGGAATTATTAAATGGCAGATCATCAATATCATTTTGTAAACATGAAGGTGGCAAGAGCTTACAGTATAGCAGACAATCCACCACAATAACGGGATGGTAGACTATATCAGAACATCATTTACTGTAAAGATGACTTAATATGAGATACAATTTTGGGATGGCACTTATGTCTCTTTCCTTTGAAACCTATATAAAAGCAAATCTTCTACTTTGCAAAATAAAAGTGAACACTTGCTTTAAATAAACGTGATGCTTTCACTCTTTTACCACAGGAGGGAGCTGCAGTAAAAGAAAGATGATCTGCCGCAACGAGGTGCAGCACTAAGTGACATCATACAACATTGGAAAAAGAAAATAAATCATAAAGATGGCAGTGATGGAAAATATGATTGGAGGATTCTTACTGTACAGATGGGTAAAAATGATCCTGTAGACATGATAACGGATTTAATATTCTCCACTTTGTTCATAACAATGACTGCCACTTCTGATGATGCTACACTTGTACTCTGCTTCTAGTAGTTCTGCTTCTGTTTTAAAAGTGTGACTATCCTCTTTTTTTACAATTGTACTGTTACATATGCCACCACCTTATTTACAACAGTACTTCCACTACTGCGACTACTTAAACTAGACTTCAACCACATGTTGAAATACTGACACGGATATTATAGAAGTCTTTCGACTCCACTTCGAGCGATAGCATTATTAACAAAGCACTTATATACTAATAAAGGACTGGCTTATCTATAGCCAGTTGAGTAGCACTTGAAATGTTTGGCTCTATGAAACCTGATGTACTTCTGTTTTCTTCAAGGTTGTGTCTTCCTGGTCGAATGTACTTATTGTAAGTCGCTTTGGATAAAAGCGTCAGCTAAATGCAATGTAATAAAAGTACAGGTGACAGCTAGACAATTCAATACATTCATTTCAATATATAGGAAACCTCCTACTGTATAATAAAAAACTGATGTCTTGTTTCATTACCTTAGAGCGAGATCAAACCATATAGGTCAAATAGGGACCCTTAGGTAATATATTATATGTGTGGTATCTGAATTCTACTATTTATATATCTTCTATTTATAATATATTTTATTATTTTATGATGAATGTGACCTTTTTTGCTGAAAAGAGGAAGCACTCTAGGAGGCTTAATGTAGACTGAATCATAGATGCATGCAATCTTTATTGTTAATGGACAATCTGGATGCATGCATCTCAGCTTGTATTTAAATGCACATTGAAGTGTGATGTCACAAGAAATAAATTAATCAAAATTTATTTATTTTTTGAATGTTTGTAACTTTTTTTATTATTATTAAACATATATTATTATATCATATTATTATATATATATATTTTTTTTACTTAAACTGTAACCGTATTTAAATAGAACCAGATTAAAAGGGAATATCTGTACAGACACCTGAAACACGACAAAGGGGCCCACATTTACTTGCTGCTTTTTGTAAAGTATCTCAAGCCAAAAAGGTTGAATAAGCAAATGATTGTCTTATTATAAAAGTACTCATTTAAAAAAGACTAAAGGTGCAACAAAAAAAGAATGCCAATCAGGTGAGCAGAACTTTATTTTATATTAATCATTTCACAACCGCTCAGATTGTTGACCCTTTTGAAAGGCTGTCCCTATAGTACCGCTTCAATAAAGTAATCAAAAGTATAAAAAATAGGTTAATCTAGCTCCTTTATTTTCTAACATGTAATTGATTTGTGTGCATTCAACCTGTTGTACTGTACAATATTTCCATAGGACTAGGCTACTCTAGGACTATTTAAGTATTACTCTACACATTAAATTGCATTTTAATCTTCAAAAACTCTCATTATATATTTTGGAGGAATAAAATACATAAAACTTTGTAATCATGTTTAGTGCTGATGATTGCATTTGGCTACTGCTAATGTTACTGTAAAGTGTTTATATATGTATGCACCCAGACTCAAACTGACCCTATATCAAGGACAGGATTTGCCTCTGATTTCCTTGGAAAGAAAGGGAGTATGATACATTTGCTTACTCTTCAAAATAAACAGTTTTAAGAATTCAATTCAGCTGAACTTCTTGGTCAAGGTTTCTCTCTGCCCTGGCATAACTGGTCGAAGGAACTTGCGACTTATTACAGTTATTTAACTGGGAGTACTGATGTGTTTGTGTCACCTGCATTTTCGTTAAGGTGTTTGAGGTTTGAAACTCCAGGCACATCAGACTAGTATTATCTCCATCGGCTGGGATGAAACTCTCTCCTTTGCTTACACTACATTATTCACACACATCCATATTTAAAACGCTGATGTCACTGGCCAGAAATAACAACTTAATGTAATTATTAGATTATAAATGAGTTAAGTAAGTAATTCATATTTCCTGAATTTGGCTGTTGGGCCTGGTTTTGACAATATTATTTGTTGTGCCTTTTTTTCCTTAGCATCAGTGCACATAATAGTGCCGAAATGATGCAAACAAATTATGGATTATATAAAGTAGCCAGCATGACTACCCTGTGGTCAAAACACATACAGACTTAATCCATTAAAGTAATATACCATTAAAAACTTTCCTTTATGGTTGTGAGTCGTGACAGATCTTGTCAAATCGAATCATGATTTGTAATGTCAGTCTTGACTCAGAAATCAGGTGCTTAGAGTGGCTACTATCCACTAAGGCTTTTTAACTTTCTTTAATAACGACAATGGCATTGTTATCATCATCCAACAGTTACAGTCTCAGGAGGGCCAAAATGCTCTGCCATGTTTAGCTTTTACAGCAATTACATGGATTGTCCACCAGAAGACTCTTACCTTAATTCAACATTGTAAATAATAAACAAATGTTAGCATCCCTCTCAAAAATAGTGTTGTGCATTCATGTTTAAAAGCAAATATCGACAGATAAGCCTGTACAATTTTGTATGATAATTGTTTTTTTTAAAGTTTAAAAAAAAAAATCTTGTACTGTATACTGATATTGGTACTTTCCTCATACAATCTGGATATATTTAGAGCTGATTATGATCTTTGCACCTGATCAATACAAATATGTTAGAAGTTAGCATGGGAAATAAAAAAACATTTTAATAATTGTTCAAAAATAAGCACTTTCTCTCAAATGTGCCAAATTACTGCAATATAACTACGTATAGTAATCAAACGTATAAATGTGTGGCAGAATACAAAATAAATAAAACATATGGTCACTGTTAAAGTCATTATGTCATTGAGTATCCATACACTGTAATCGCTATGGAAAGACTTGAGGAGTATGGCAGTTATGGCAGCTTCCGTCGCCTCGGGGATATAACCTGGCTGCAGCCTCCGAAATAAGAGGCCCCTTGTAACCTTATCGATCACCGAGCAGAGAGGCAGTCTGGGTCCACACACTCTGATCGGTTTCAGTGTGTCAGACGAACTTCCCAGAATAGCAACTCTGGGTTGTCTGGCGCTCTGCTCTGCTGTGGAGGAGATGGAGGAGGAAGTCAGTGGTGGATTAACAACTGTTGCTTTTGTTGCTGCTGCCGCTGCGGAACCAAACTACCTTTCAGTCCGCGCTGCATGGTGCCTGTCGGGCTAGAATGAAGTCTAATCCAAACCGTGACATTCATTCGGGATCAATGTGCAAGTTCATGGGATTATATAAACTCCTACGTGTTTAAGGTAATTCAAGAAGACAGTGAGAGACACATAAACGCATTAATCGCTATCCTGTATTAGCCTAACTAACATGGTGTTGCTGCTTTAATGTGGCCATTCAATATATTTCGACTATCAGTGGGCGACAGACGCTTCAGAGCTGCTGGAGGCGCATGTCTGCGGCAAAGGCAGACAAGGAGCGTCTGTCTGATGAATGGAAAGCCAGGTGGGCTCTGCTGTAGACTGCGGTGATCGGATAACCTGTTGAATTGCAGCTGCCAGTCAGCATTCACATTCCGGCGACACAGCCGGCGAAAATCACTTAACACGAGAAACACCACGCGTTGCCACAATAACAACAGCTTCACGGTTTTAGTGATGGCTATTTCCAGTCAGAGATCATGCACTGTTTTCTGCCAGGAAAATGCGCGCTCTCCTAACCTGTCTGATCATCTTCCAAATACAGTTCTCCCAGCCTTTTGTGCTGCTGAAGTGCATTCATTCGGCTTCCTAACGTGAAGGCTAGAAATACTAGGAAGTAGTGTCAGATATTAATGAAGAATGGGTTAATTTGTTAAATATTCTGAAATCTGAAATTCACCCTGTCATATGGTTGGTTGTAACTTGGTCTCTTGATGGCTTTTATGGGCATGCAGCAGCTTATTTGCCACTACATCTAATTATTCTCGCTCCCCGCAGCTGCAGTTAAAACGCATGCCGGTCCGACCTTGAGTCACTTATTCAGAGTAGCTTGTCAACAATGCCACTGATTTCCAGTCTCTTCGTTGTTGAAAATAGCCTGGCTGCTCCCTGCCACTATGGCTAATTCCTTAGGAACCGGTGGATCCAGTTTGATCCATCCCTCTCTTTCTTTCCCTTCAGCAACTTGTTGAGTCTTCCCCCCCTCGGTCTTCCTACTATAAAAGAAAGTAAGCTGTGTAACCACCAGTTCAGCTCGTAGTTGTGCGACTTCTGAAGAAATGTCGCTAGTAGTTTGAATCGAGTGAGTGTAGAGATCGATGTGATCGTGTCGCTTTTCAGTGGAATACTCGACGGGACGAGCGCAGGAGAAGCTTTGACGCACCTGTAGGACACTGTTGATGCGCTCCTCCTAAACTTTTCTCGGCTTTTCTGAACCTGCTCAGAGTAACTATCAAATGTTATTCTCATTTGGACTGTTGGTGAAAGCTGTCCTGAAAAATTGGGGCTTCTTTCATATATTGTGATCACTTGAGGTAATGTTGACTATTTTGTTTTATTAAAGGGAGGTGGAGGCAACGCACCACCCCCTGCCTCTGTCTTTGACTGAAGTTACCACCTCACTTTGCACAGGATTTGTGAATCCATCTTTTCTTTTTATTATAAATATTACAACATTTTACTTTCTTGTTTTAATTGAAGCTTGTCATCTAGAAATAACCACAACCTGAAACACATTACTTTATGTGACTCAAAAGTGTCACATTTTCGTCTATGGAGCTACAGAGGAAAGCTAAATCAAGAGCTCAGACCCTTAAGGAAAGTGCTCAGTCATATTACCATGGTCTGTGTTGTACAGTTAACTGCTATTTAATCAAGGTTAAATTCCGAATAATCTGCCTTTGGGACCTTCTGCATAGACCAAAATAAAAAGTTTCTGCAATGCCATCTTTGATTAGTTATATCATATGAAAAGGTTAAGCTGCCTGTTTGCCAAGGAAGCCAGAAGTCCTGCTGCGGCATAATATAATATGAATGTTTTTAGATATCTGACTTTATATATATAAATGGATATGGTAAACTATTTTATATATATATATCTTGGATGGAATGTCATTTCAATGTATAAAAGTCATAAAACACTAACTTAATAAGAGTTGACTTGACAAATGGGTCAATGGATAATGATGGAGCCAAACATGAACATTTACAATTCCTAAAAAATGTAATCAACTAATAATAACAACCTTATAACTCTTTGAAAACGTTCACAATACATGTTTTGATATCATGTATTGGGCATGCCTGTAAATGTTTTGGAAACATGAGGTTTAAGAAGGTTGCGTGTGTCTACAGTAAGTGTAGAATGTCTTGTGTTTCATTTAAGTTATTGCTATTTATTTAATAAATTGCTTCTTCAATCTAGAACCAGTTTCATAAAAAAAAGTTCAAATGTACCAAGCATTTAGTATTTAAATGTCCTCCCTTTTTAATTTAGAAGAGATGGAGCTACTACATGTATTTATTTAATGTTGCCTGTTTTTTAGATAGATAGATAGATAGATACTTTATTGATCCCAATTTGGGAAATCATTGTAATAAGAGACTATAGTGATATAATATTATTCATAATTTCTGACTCAATAATATGTGTCTCTAACACATGATAAAGACATTTTTAACTGTAAAATGCAAATATGGAGATACACATTTTAAATAGTTCATTGGGTAGCTTCATAAAAGTACTTTTCAAGTTAGCATACTGCATAAATACATCTGAAGCTCTGAAATATGATTATAAACTAATAAATAGTCTATAGGTCTGTGGTGTTTGTATTAGTACTTGATCAAGCCTAACTCTGAAGCCCGCTATGAAACAGAGTTCAGGCTGTACATCTTTAGAGATATGTCAATATTTGGTTTAATACATAATAATTAGGAAAAATGACAAGAACGACATGAAATATGCAAAAAAGTGTTACAACAATGTTAAAGTTGCCTTTAATATTTATTTCTATTTCCTGCAGGACTCCCAAAGCTACTTGAAATGGAGACTCCGGATGGCTACTGTGAAAGTAAGTTATCATATCGCTTACGCACTACATTAAATGTGCACTGACTTCTGTACATCATGGTTAGAGTTGATGCAGTTTATCAGATTCTCTGTGAGATTTTATTTGTAGCGATTATTGTAATATTGATGCACTTGCGTCCGTGTGTTATTATGTTTTTGTGATTATGACTTTATTACCTTATTTTGACATATTCCTGTACAATGCTGATACAAACAAAAATAATTTTGCAATCACAACACCATGAACCTTTCAAGGGATTTTCCCCGACTGCAGCCCTTTTCCTGTTCACCCTTTAAAGCTATAGAAAAATATGCATTACCAACATCCTGTTGAATGTAGCAGATACTGGATGCGCACTTTGCGGTGCTCCATTGCCCTTTGCTGATTTCCTTTGAGCTGGTCTCTCGAATATATTGCTCCCTGCCCCCCTTTGGTGTGCAGGTAGACTGTTGTTTATGACATCAGCGGGGATTGTAGGTCTCCATTTGGGCTTTGTGCTTATAGGAACACTTGGCAGGCATGGTTGGGGTGGTGGCGGAATAAAACATGGAGGCTCTTTCTCTCCATGTCCGTCCGTGGGTCACTTCTGAAATGATAGTTGTTGAACAAAATGTGTTCCGTTAGCATGAAACTGCGGAAACACACATATTTTTGGAATTCCACGGTTTGTATCCTTATTACCCCCATGTAGCTGGTTTAACACTCTACTTATCAATATCAAGGCACTGCTGACTTCAAGAGAACGTTTTTAGCCTAACATGCCTGTTGGGACACACATCGTCATAATCTTACACCATATACTCTCCTACAAACACTGATATACACTGCTACGCTCAACTATACCATACCATTAGTGTTTATCAAAAATAACATTAATAATACATGTAAAAAAAATGTTATGTGACAGAGAGAATGTATAACTTCAAACTGAAAACTAATGACCGATGTAATTTTACCTCACTCCAGCAAATGTGAAACTTATTTTCCTTTTAATATTGTGATTCAGTTAGTCCTCGCTCTGTGACTAAAGACTTGTCAAAGCTTACAGATGTAAGCTTCATTAAGTTGGTCAGAAACTTTTTTTCTGTATTGTAATATTATCCGAAAGTCTTAGTGGAGATTATCACTGTAACAGATGTTATGTTTTGCCTGATTATGCATTTACTTGAAAAATAGGAGACCAGTCGGTGTCTTAGCAGAACACCTCCATTTTTTCTTTCACTTCAACCCCAAAACACCGGGGGATTCTCTGAGGGACTAATTTACTTCACTGCATCACAAATCAAACCCAATAATGTCACCAATGTATGTCACAGTGTTTTAAAGGTAAAATATTGTAATAACATCTAGGTGCAGGTACTTTACAGTTACGTACATTACATGATTGTCTATATGTACAAAGGATAACAGTATCTGTGACTCAGAGTAGTAGTATGAGGCATACTGCCTTACACCGTGAATAATCATATCTGATTGACAATGTGTGGTTTTAATACTTCAAAGCTTAGCTTTGCACAGAACATACATTATAGAAAAGCAGGGAAGGTATAGGATTTCTGAAAGACCAGAGAAACCTTGCTATTGCATAAACAAAACATGGTGCCCCAACAGTGTCTGAAATCAAATGCTCTTTGCAGCACAAACATTCATAGCAGTACCTAAAACTTTGTAGAAAATAAAGCCATTCTATAATAGAGTCAACAATTTAAGCTGCCTTCCTGTTGAACTAACCAACCTTGCTTTTATTTAACACTCTTCTCATGCTATTATTCGTAACAACATGCGCTGTCATTGACACTCTCATAGGTCATCATACTCACACACACCGTTATGCCTTTTCAGACACAAAATACTACTTTTCTCAACCACAAACACTATCATAACTTATCACATATGCAATTATTTTCTCACATAAATCATCGCACTTTGACCCATGCCCTTTATTTACTTTGATGTCATTCTGTCTTACATGCTCCACTTCTCATGTCAGTCATTCATGTGCGTTTTGGTCTTTTCAAATAGAGAGAAGACACAGCCCACTCTTCTCTGGGTTATTGCCTTTGTTAAATGTCATTAAATATGGACCAATGCAACATTTCCTGTGTCATTAACAAAGCTAATTGTGAAACAAGATGTCCTTCTGCAAGACCTTTTGCCCATTTTATATAATGTTGTTCCAGTAGAATCATAGTAAATCCGCGAAACAAAACATGTTTACTTTAGTTCAGTTTAGTGTATTTATCCTAGGGGAAACATTGGGTCGAGTATCATCTCAAAAAACAAATGTAATGAAATGTCCATCAGCTAACTTGGGATTTAGCCTTCCAGGAGGGAGCGCACAAACATTTCATTGTATGGAGGTTTTTGGTGCAAATTAATTAAGAATTATTGTTTTACCTCCAACTTTGCTTTGCATGCATTGCATAATCAATCAACAACCATTATTTCCTAGTCCAAATGATAGTTATCTGTGGATGAGTCAGTTATCCCTCCTTTGTAGGGAACCCTGACATACACAGATATAAATCATAAATGGATAAAATGTGTGCTTTTGTTTGGCAAGTATCAGCTGCTTCTGTAATACTTGGTGTATACATATAACTGTTTTTATTTTATCACCAATTAAATTCATCACGCCATCCGATACAATATCTTAAAATGTTTAGAAGATGTGTTGAATGAATGCTCCTATTGTCTTTATATTTGTGTTGGCTGGGTCAGTGGTGTATACGTTTGTTTGTGTGTCTGTGTCTTATGAAGCTTGTCTTGAGGAAGGTTCAGGGTTTGACAGGAAAAACCAGCTCCCATACAATCTGTATCCAGCAAACCAGAATGGAGGGCCTCGTCACTCCGGAAAGGAATCTTATTATTTTCCTCAGACAAGTAGACATAGGCACTGTTGAGCCATTTCAGAATATTTCAACCTTTCTGTTAACACATCAGGCACATTGAGCTTTCACTCTGTGTAATTAAAAATATTTGTAATCACATACTGTTCCTGAACCTAAATTCTGTATTGTACGTATAAATGTGTGTGTTCTCCTTTGAGAAACGTCTGAGACAAGAAATGTCATTGACCCTTGTTAGATTTCTTAGACAATGACTGTACTTCAGTATAACTACGCATTGATTCAGCGTCACTGATAAAGTCAGCAATTATTACACCTACTAGTTTCACAATGTGTACACATTTGTTCCTTTCCATTTGCCACCATATTCAATCATCCCAATTTTGTATTGCTCAAAATACCTTTCCCCCAGCAAGTTTCGACTGTTTGATATCCTGATCTTACTGTTCATACAGGATTGACTCAGCAAATGTGTGGCGCCAACCCAAACGTTCAGTTTGTGCAGGCTTATGTGTGTGATTAAGAGCATTTATAACCCTGTACACAATTAATCGTTTACAACCATTTTTCCGCAAAAGGGCAACATTGGGCAAAATGCATATAATGCATCTTCTTCACTAGCTGCATATTTGACCAGAAGCAAGCAACATATATGTACTTAATCAAAGTGTGACTTCTTCATTGTTTGCAAATGTTTGCCTTGAATTCAGGCTCTTGGCTTTTGACGATAACAAATCTTTACTTCACATTATAAATTGTTAATTAAAACAGACACACCACTGGCAGCAATACTCATAATTCACCATATATTTGGTAGATTTTGAATCAATAGCTTGGAAAGCTATCAATAGCTAATGAAGGGCCACTCAAGAATGGTCCTTTTATTCTTTCTTAAAATACCCTTATTTTAGCATTTGAAGCCAGACCACCCTATACTAATAGTTTAGTCTTAAGACAATCCAGCACCACTAGGCAGCTGTCAGCATCTTATGCAGTAATGGAAAATCCTTCATGACAAATCTGGGCCACTCCTGTCTCCAGGACAGCATTGCCAAGGGAGAGCCAGTGTTGGTCACCTGAGATTTCCTCCAACCCCAACCTGTGCAACATGAGCCCAGGCCCAGGGATTGTGTCAGGGACAACATCTCCCAGTATGCCCCACTCAGTGGGGCCTCCACTACAATTGAACAATGCCATAGAGGAGGTTGTCAATCTAAGAGGAGCTGTCACAACAATTGGAGATCTGACACAGATTTATTTTTCATGTATGAGGGATCATTGCAGACATGTTCTGCATCGACCCATTGTAACACAGCCTTTGTGGTTCCATTTGAAGCACTTTTCTTTGCTTTTTAGCTGAAATTTCCCTCGGTTACGGCTATTGCTACATCAATTTTAAAAGCACAAGGCAATGATGTCATTATAATCTCCAGTTTTTCATAACTGTGAGTCTACTTCAGGAAAAGCCTTTATTGTACTGTTGGTGAAAGATGGCTCACGTTGGTTCCTAAGGGATCTGACACCTGGGTCAGCAGGGGTGTTTGCCTGTTGCCACTGTATTGTTATAGTGACCCTGAAGGGGCCAGAGTGTAAGGGGATAAGGGATTGGTTTGCTCTCCCTCAAACCACACAGGACACAGGACACAGGGCTATCCATAGCCTGGGTTCTGTACAGACTGCTGAGAGGATGCAATCTGATCCACATTTGCTGGACATTAGGATACCATAGGTGCATAAAGACAGTTAGGTTATCTCCCTTGTACATTCTGTATGGTGACCGCTATTGTGACCATTCAGGTTAGGCTTTGAAAGATTTTAACTTTTTCCATTACTCATTGCTTAGCAGACTTATTTCTGTATTTCATACAAACTGTTGGTAATGAAATACACAATTCACTTTTTAATTTATTTAATTAAATAGACTGCATATGTCTTCCCAGGTTAAATGTAGAGTTTATCATCACAATCTGTAAGAATGCTATACCAAAAATTGCCTTCAAAATGCAATTTTTCTGAAATTCTTTCTCTTTGTTGATGCTAATTAATTTTTCTTTTCATCTTCATCCTTTTGGCTTTTGAAAGCGCAATAGTTACATATTTGCATAAACTGTACACCATCAAATACCTTAGAGCTGTCAAATAACCGTATTGTATTTGTTGAACATCTCCAGTATTGTACAGCACAATGTAGATTGCTGTGTTTCTGCTTGTCTCCCAGGTAACGGCCAATGCTCTCCTGGTAGAGAGAACTCGAGAATGTCGGCGGATACGTCAACACCTAATGGACAGACAGTTCCTCAGGGTCCTAATTCTCCCAGTGGTGAGTGTTCAATCAATAGATCCTCATTTCTGCAGTCTGCCAAGAACAACCACAGCATACAACAACACTGTTTCTCCTTTAAACATATATGTATAATTGATATGCTCTAGTTTCTTCACAAGATCATACAGTCTGATCATTGTATTTTGCTTTGTCTTAATGAGGAGAAAACTGCAAAGCATGACATTACAAAACAATGCATTCAAAATATCTTACTCAAAAACACAAAGAGAAACTACAAATACAGTCGGGTCCCAAACAATATTTGGAAAAAAAGGATTAGGATGAACACTTAGAGTGGATAGCAAGAGTATCCACAGTAAGAGTTTTGTACAATAATGCCTTATTGCAGCGTGTTGTACCATATCACACTTGTTGAGATATATTGCACTTCTCCAGAAGTGTTGCTTGTTCCTTTTAGTCTATTGACCCGAGGCCTCAGATTAGCTCTAGTAATGTCACTGTGAAGCCGCAAAGTAAGAAAAGGGGAAACTAAGCAAGACAAGGCAGCTAAGGAGAAAAAGGGAAGCTGGTTTCCTACAGGTTATGAGATACAAGGAGGCGAGCTGGGCCATGTTTTTCACAGGGAGATACTCTTCACCGATAAGAGCTGTTGTCATTCTGCAAGTTGCCTAACATCATTTTCTATTGAGGCTCTGTTACAAAAGAAGGACTGCATCATATCATCTGTTGAAAATATGCTATGAAGTGCTGTGAAATTTCACTCCCTCTTTAAGTTGCAAGCCTAAACATATGTTGTTCAGCAATTGTCCTGGCATTGTGCACTGTCTGATGATAAAAGGTAGAAGAGTAGAATTACACCCTTAAGGCCAGGTGACAATGTGGGTGTTAAGAGTGACATAATGCCTTATTCATAATGATTTCTGCCATTAGGAAACCCCCTTAATTGATTGTGATATTACCGCTTGAGTTTGTGTGATTGTGGAAAACTCGGATAATTAGCAGACTCTACTGCACTGTATCTCAAAGATACCTTTAATTATGCCCAAACTGCTTTCGTATGATTTTTCATCACTGCTTTTGTCGTAGCAACGGTTTTGAGTGTATCCTCATCTGACCACTCTATGTATTCCACTCTGCCACCCTGGATAGACAGATGTAAAGATGCAAGGAGCTGAATAGCAAGGACGTTCAGGTCTGCTCCGTGTTGCCAGGATACAGCTGTCGAAGGCAAGGCTCAATCGCAATGTGGGTATTGGGATAAGTGTTTCTTCTTTGCAAACTGTGGCATTGGAAACACACAGTATCTGTTGCTTTGTGAAGGTTTTACTCAGTAATCTACAACAAATAAAATCTTACCAGATTATCTAAATGTATTATACTAGCTACAAGGAGTTAAGTGTCTGCTGTTCCAAAGCCTGTGGGGACAGTTGGTGGATGCAGTCAGATGAAAGGCTTTGGTGAAACAACCACATATGCTCACACAGTGATTATTGCACCAGTAAATCCCAGAACAGGATCATCAGGATCAGTAAGTTTTACTTGGAAGAAGTCCAAACGTTTCTTTTTCACACTTAGTCACTTTCACATCCATTCTAATGCATTAACAAGACCAAGAGTTGATTTTTGGCCTTGTGTGATTCTTTGAAATCTTTCTTTGGGAACAAGTCAAGTCAAGTTTACAAAAGGGGATACATTCATAACCAGTTTATCTTGGCTCATAGCCGCATGATAATCTGAGAAGACTTTTTAAAAAGGCAAACTCAGAAAATCAGTTTGATGAATTTGTGGAGCATGCAAATGGTTTTGATAGTCTTGCATTTGACGGATTGTCAAAGTTAAATGTAGCACAACAAACTGTTTGTATACCGTATTCTGCTTGATCACAGAATGCCTTTTTATTAAAAAGGAGAACTTGATTGTATAGCATTTAGTGTTTGAATGTCTGGACATTCTAAGAAAGAAGAACTGTTTTACCATATTTTATCCTATGTTAGATAAGAGGTTCAAGTCCTGCCCATGAATTGTTTCATCTTATAGCCTACTGCTATTGTGGTTCGTACAGAATAAGAAAACTCAATTACCTAAAAAAGCAACGTTTTGCCTTTGTTTCCGGAACCAGGTTCTTGAAGTTGAGAATTTGGATTTTAGGTTGGCTGTATACAGTATAATCCAGCTGAGTGAGAATAATGTAGGTGAAGGAAACTATGTGTAACTGTGTTGTTTGCTGTATTCTGGATAGTTATTGTACGAGTATTAGTAATCATTGGTGACTGATAAGTATCGACTGCAGGTGGTGAATACTTTACCTCCACTGCCACCCAATGCGAGCACACACAGACACACACACAGTTAAACAATCTTTTGCCCTTGTCATCCAGCCGGTCTCCCACTGATAGTCAGGTACAGCTACAGGGCCTCTGACACTCCCTTTTCTCCCCAGGGACAGCCAGGAACCAGACCAGCCTGTTTAGCTTTTTGTCTCTCTCTTTCTTGTCAATGTGTGACTCCATCCTAATGCTGCCTATACGTTAATGTATGGTTAAGGACGCCTCTTGCACATTCCTATTTAATAATATATATAGTTGAGTTTACACAGCCAACCCATAACACCTCCAGCCAATATGTCCATCCTGAGACCAGCACAGTTCATTTCAGGGGGCATTCACAGTTTAACTAATTTGTAAAAAGGCTAATCAACTTAACTTCTAATCTAACAAAGAGCTACAATCTCGCGTTTAGCCTTACTCCACCCGTTTGAAAAAAAAGAAAATGTTAGTGTACACTGTTTATTCTTGACCAATAAATCAGAACCAGGGCAAACATAGGTCACACATTTGTCATGTAAAGCATGGCTACTGTTGAGCATTTTTGTAGTACAAGTCATTTAATGGCACTCCCATGAATCCTGCAATATTTAAATTTAGCTTTGCAATGTCAGGATTGTCGTTGCTTTTGTTTTACAGAAATAAAAATTAAGCAAGAGGAAAAAACAGCGGAGGAGGCCGACAACAGAAGCCAAGCCCTTGATGAAATAAGCCAAACAGGGGAGGAAGGATCAGCCTTGGACGAATCCGTGACTGGCAGCCCGGTCAATGTACAAGATGGATCATCTGAGCCAGACCTGACGGGTGATACCGGAAGCCGACAACCAAACGGTACTGATCACTATATGTCCAAATGCCATTGAAAGTGTGTCATTCTTTAAGGAGGTACATCTTCGGCCATCTATTGATCAGAATCTGGCTAATTTTACGATTCCCATATCTTCAGAGTGAGTCAGAAATGTGTCATCCTAAATCGTGGGTGTGGAGTGCTCTGTTTTCTTTTCTTAGAAGGACAATAGCCCTGACTTTGAATTATTATTATTATGGAAAAATATCCTTGGAATCCCCCACAACCTGTTCCAACTGACGCCATGACTGCTCTGGTTGTCACAGCATTGGGATCATATTTCCAACTGGCTGCAGATCAAAAGATTTGCCATTAGAACAGCAGACAGTAGTTGTGAGGCCTTTGGAAATCCGAAATGTGAACTCAACTGTATCGTTCCGCCAGAGACACATGCAAACTATTCAATTTACATTCGCTTGAATTCTCCTGAATGTACCCAGGTAAAAACAGTACAGGCAACTTTTTTTCTCTGAGAATTATATACACGACTGCTAATTGCTTTCTACCCATGGTGACATAAAGTAAACTGTCAGTTACTAAAACAGGACTAGGTTTCAGAGTTGTTGATACTTTCTTAAAAACATCTTCCACATTGTGGTATTGACTTCCTGTGCCTGCCTCTATTAGGTGACAGGCCGTTCCATTGCAACCAGTGTGGCGTCTCATTCACCCAGAAGGGAAACCTGCTGCGACACATTAAGCTGCACACAGGCGAAAAACCCTTCAAATGCCCCTTCTGCAGCTACGCCTGCCGACGGCGCGATGCTCTCAGCGGGCATTTGCGCACTCACTCTGGTAAGACTCCTCCTCACCTTCTTCTCTTCCCTTTCATACTTATCCACCCCTGTTACCTTGAACACTTACTTTCACCATTTTTTTTATATAAGACGTAAAATATTTTCTTCCTGATTAATGTTTTGTGACCTAATGTGTTTATTGTAAGAATTAACATACTGTAGCATGCTGGTTGGTGACTCTCTGTCTCATGTTGTTGCTGGATAGACGCAAAGGTGTTTTTTTGTATGTGCATGATTTGGAGAGCGCTGCGAGTGCTTTGTGGTTAGGTACCAAGGACATGCTGTTCCTTACTTGTTGAGAAACACATGGGGAGCGCTGGCTGTCTCGCTCAACTGTAACCCACTTTCCTATCAGGGAGGATATGCTCTCCCCTCTTTTGCACCTTTGAAATCGAGGTCAGACAATACCGTCATTTCTGCCAATGATGCCCCCACTGGGTTACTCATCCACAGTTCCCTTTTCAAATTGAGGTGAAGTGTGTTTTGGGTGTGCGTCCTAGAGTTTACACATGTCTGTAATCTCTTTCCCAGCTGCTACTCAGATGCTTTTTCTTTAATGGCTTTCTAAATGTGTGTCATCCTACTGTACATCTGTTTTCCACCATCAACCATGACCATTTTACTACTTTCACTTCCTTTATTGTTAAGCTGAATTAGTTTGGAACATCCCCCGACCCCTTATTCCTGTAAAATCATGAGTGGTAGGCTACATTTGTGTTCCTCCAGTCATTCAGTAGGGATTGTGAGAAATGTGATGTGGCCAAGTTGTACTGTCATGATGGTCTCTTAGGTATATGTACTCACCACCCTAGGTAGTACTTCTGCTGTCTTTTGCCTGGTGCCTTGCCATGAAGAGCAGGTGTAGCCAAAAGAGGCAAATATAGCATTAAATGAGAGGCTGAGGAAAAAGGTTAGATAAGAGTGAGAAGAGAAAATTAGTGGTAAAACAAAAGTGTGTGCTGTCCCTGAGGCTAAGTTAAATGTTGGAAAATGACATCATGCGTTGAGGCAAAGTATATTGTTGAAAGAATAATGCAAACCATTGAGGCGAAAAGGATTTCACATTTTGTCAGACAGATGATTTAAATTCTAGCAAGTTCCCGTTTATTAGCCAAATGCAGTCAGTCAAGTGAGTCTGAGTGCACAGTGTGTGCCATTTGCATGAATAAGAATAGAGTCTGAAAGGTGGATCTTTAGGTTCCTCCAACATCTGCGCAAGGTCGTGTGTGGGTGGTTGTATAAATATGAAAAAAAAGAATGAAGTTTATGTTGTGTGTAGATGTGAGCCACTGAGAACACTGGAGTTATACCTGATTAAATACTGCCTATTCTACTGTTTTGGCTTCACGGCAGAAAAGCAGCAACGTTTTTTCCATGTTGATGTTCCGTGATGTAGTTACTCTTTCAATATGAATATTACTGCAATGACCTTGCAGGTACAGCTACCCACACTCTAGCAATATTGAAACCCTTTGTCATTAGCCACCATTTTTCTATCAGTTTATACTCTCCTAACCATGCTCCTAACCCATTTTTTTTTCAATCAACCCTAAATGTCGTTTCATGTTCTACAGATACAATGTCACACATAGACCACAAGAGTACAGATACAGCAGAAAACATGTCATCATTCCACATGATTCACTTAAAAGAAAAGTGCATGCTGATGCATGATTGGCCATGACTGGTCATGTCATTCTTGAACAAGTGGGTTTTATTTCCCTCATTCAAAGAATCAAGAAGTAGTTCAGGGGAAGAAATGTTAAATTTACAGCTAGTGGAATTAATTAATTATTCATTTCTTCTTGTAGAACATATTTAATGCCAACAAAACCTCAGCATCATTTTCTGTGGGAGAAAGAGTACTTTTGTTCACGTGTGACCCATAACCTAATTTTATATGTGTGTGTGTTTGTGTTACTGCCTCCAGGCCTCATACTGAAACATGTCTGTGTTCTCTTGTCTCACAGTGATAAGTGCTTTGAATCTTCTTCTAGTAATAGCTGTCACCATTAGTATAGTGAATATATTACTACATTGCATTGCTAACAACGTAGTCTGGGTCACATCGGTAAGCTTATGTGGCCTCCAGTTCACTCAGTCCCTTTATGAGTCATGATGCTAGTCTTGAGCATACTCTACCACCGGACACAGACCTCAACACACTTTTGTATTCACATAAGTGCAGAATCAAGGTTTTAAACACATGTAAATCTAGGAAACAGTTCACTGGTGGTGGCACTGGTAACAACTGTTGTCTCATATTTAAGCTTTCCTGTCAACTCCTTACAACTGTATGTGCCTTTATTATCATTTATAAAATCATTTATAGTTGTACTTATCCCTTGATAGCAGTAATCCGTCCATTCATTGATACAGCGAGAAAGATAGGAAATGTCTTCTACATCTTTCTGCCTGACGATGTAGGAAATAATTGAATACATAGAAACGGCACAATGAATCACACCCCACCTCCTTAGCAGTTTACCATTGGAGTCAGTTTCCTACCACCACCATGGGATGCATGACAACTCCGCCATTCACTCATCAGTCAGCAGTGGGAGTTAGCTATATGAGACCAAAGCATTTTTTTTCGCCCACAAGTTTTGGTCCGTCTTACTGTCTGGCAACAGTTGTGTGGAATACTCAGAATACTAGTAGTGGAACATCCATGATCTCATTTGGTTAGTTTGTACTACTGACACAGTATTTACTACTACGCACCACCTGAGCATTGCGGCATTCTGCTTTATCTCATTGGACGCTACCCACTCTCACTGTCTGTGACAGTGAATTAAATTAATATGCTCTCCCTTTATGTCATTTTTAGTTGGCAAACCACACAAATGTAACTTCTGTGGGCGGAGCTATAAACAGCGCACATCTTTGGAGGAACATAAAGAACGCTGCCACAACTACCTGCAGGGCATTGGCTTGGATCTGAATGCCAACTCTTGCCCTTACCCAGGTAAATCTTTTTTTTTCAAAAATAAAGGAGGCTTAATTTTGTAATGGAAACGGTAATACAGTCAATTGTGAAAGCGCTTAAATTAACTAATGTATTATATATTTGTTGTTTTTAATGCAATTGGTCAAGTATGGAGATAATCTCTTAAAGAGAGCAGTACAAAAAAACACTTCAATGTTACTTTCATGTGTGTAGGAGTCTGTCTAGTTAAAAAACTAAATATATGTATTCTTTCCAACTCCCTTCCCTTCACATTTTCAAGGTGAGGTCCCTAAAGAGCAGAGGCCCATGGCAGAGCCCAACACTATGGCTACCTTTGATCGGCCGCCCGTTATTGAGAGACTGCACAGCAACGTGGGCAAGAGGAAGAGCACCACGCCGCAGAAATTTGTGGGTGGGTATTTTAAACATAGCCAAGCAGTCAATGGCTCTCTCATTTTTTTATAAATGTGAAAAGTCAGTGAGGACCAGCTGGCCTGTAGTGGTTAAAAAATGTGTTGTTGTATTGTGTTTCTAATGTATGAACTACAATACAAATCACTTGAAGCATAATGTTAATAACATACTCAATAATTGCTTCGCACAAGTGTTGCCTCTTATTTCTATGTTGTGCTAGAATTGAAATATGTTATACCTAATACTTCTTTTACACATTTAGTTTAAGTAACTCTTTCCCTTCCTTTTCATTTTTGCTTGATAAAGTATTATATATCTACGCCATACCCTGCCCTAATTATGAAGACAGATTTTTTTGTCTAAATCTGACTTTATTTGCCGCACTATTAGAAAAAAAAAGATTGAGCAAGCTTGAGCAAGCAGTTGACTGAGAGGCGAGGAAATGTTTTTCACTCTGTGGTTAGGTACACCTGTAACTTTGCCATAGCTCTTATCGAGAGAAAACAGCTTACCGCATCCCTGTTCTGCAGGGGTTAAACAGTGCAGAAGTAGATGGATGGGGATTTCCACCTTATTAGACTCGCATACAATATACATATGAAGTATAAAATATGAAAAACATGCCCCGAAATAAGTTTCACTGATAAGAAAGGACATTTTGTGATGTCAAGCCCTGCTGATATTTATTAACATATTTATTGTCTCCTGTTTTTGCGATTAAAGTAAAAGTTACCCTCCTCTTACACTATTTCATTGATATTTGTTATGATGGGTGTTTTCCATTTGGAAACTGGTATAGTCTTGTCAAATCAGTTCCACACAGTCATAGTGCCACTGTCTTTCATGCAGGTGAAAAGATGGTGCACTACGGCTACCCTGAGCTAGGCTATGAGAGGGGCCTTAAGTATGACAAGCAGGCTGAACTGATGTCGGCCCACATGATGGACCAGGCCATCAGCAATGCCATCACGTACCTGGGATCGGACAACCTCCGACCCATGTTCCACCATCCAGGTCCCCCTCTCTCTATGGCTGAAGTCGTTCCCATGGTCAACCCCCTCTTCCACCAAGTCCTGCCAATGGGCCAAAGCGCAGATCGGCCAGGAAACGGTGACACGCTGCCACTACATCCACCTCGGCCCCATGACTTCCTCAATCCTCCCACCATAAATGGTCCCACCACTTTAAACAGGCAGGCCAAGCTACGCCATCCAGGGCAAGAAGAATCTCCCAACAACAGTGGGGGTGACTCTGCTGACTCAGCTCGAAGCAGCCCTCATGAGAGGCCGGGTTACCACGGGAGCAACCAGGCCCCTGGCCCTCGGTCTCGAGCCAGTCCAGCGATAGTTTATTCTGGTGAGCGAGCCACAGAAACATTGCCTAGAAGCAGGGAAAGAGTGGGGACTGGGATCATACGAGTGGCCACAGATAGACCGCCCGCAAACCGGGAAGGGGTGCGGGTGTTCGGACGAGAAGGCCAGGAGTTGCGTGCCTTCCAGTGTGAGCACTGCCGGGTGCTTTTCCTGGACCATGTCATGTACACCATCCACATGGGTTGCCACGGATACAGAGATCCGTTGGAATGCAACATCTGTGGTCACCGCAGCAAAGACCGCTACGAGTTCTCCTCTCACATAGTCCGTGGTGAACACACCTTCCAGTAAGACAGTGGGTAGGACTTAGGGGAAAGACAAAGAAGGGAAAGGAGCAATAGCCTGATAGCCGTCCTTACCCCCAGGACTCCGAGATGGCTGTAGACAAGTGTAGCACAATCATAGCATAGTTTTTTTTAAGCTACTTATTGTGAAAATTAACAGTTGAACAATCACATGAAGGTATGGGCCAAAGACTCATTTTCTACATATCTAATTAAGATTATTATTGTAGAAGGAAGTGTTTCTCTCAAAATGTTGATTCATTGTATAACGGAGCAGCTGCCAGAGGACTTTGACTAGTTCATTGTAGTCTTATTTGGAAATGTCTCCTGTTGAGCTTTTTCTGTCATCAGGCTTTATGCAAGTTGAATGCATACAACTACAATTTAAATATATATAATATTATAACTAACAATAAACAACAAAGGACTTCCTTACCTTTGTATTAAATAATAATAATAATAATAATATAATAATAATACCACTGGGGATGTCTTCATAGACCTAATAGCAGTACGTTAATGAGCTGGCCCACTTACTGTAGAATATCTCACAGGATCTGTGTAGTTTTCTTTTTCATTCTTTTTCATGATATTGCCATGGACAGTTATGCTTCTTTTTCCTATGAATAATGGTGGAATACAGATAATGTTGATGTCTAACTTTGCTGTGTGTTCTAGCTGCAAGCAACCTGCCGTCCATTTGGAATTATTTGCAATATGTTTAATTGTCTCTGATATATCTGCAGCTGTGGAAATATGACCAGTCGTTCCAGCAGTCTTCAGTCATCAGTCCTTAGTTTTAATTTTGTGTTTTTGTGTATTACTGCACAATTAAAATTATTTAGGATATATAGATTACTACCAGGTTTAAAAAATTCAAAACAAACTTTCAAAATGTACTTATTTACTATATTCTTCCAATAGTGAATACATTGTGAATTATTTGTTAGAGGCTCAGTCCTGTAGTCCTGTAGATATAAATATAGATGCAGTATATAAAGGTTAAACACCTTGAGAATAACAAATTCATTTTAATTGAGGTCCAAATACTTATACAAGTGGCCAATGAGCATGTCACTAAACACAAATAAACTTAATTTAAAGATGTAAATTATGGGTTTGGAAACAAAGTGTGGTAGGTCTTATCATAAATGAATGTTTTAATTCACAAACAAATACAAGCAAATGCAAATAAATGTTGAACACTGTAAAAAGGCTAAATAGCTATCTGATAGCAGAGAACTACCTCCATACAACCACTTTTTAAGATTAAGCTTATGTGATATTCTTCTTTAATACACTTTGAAGGATAATATATTACATAAAAAAATATTTTTGTTGGTATTGCCTTTGCTACACTTGAGTAAAGGCAAGCTACGATAGCAGCCATGCTAGCAGTGTAAGCTAGCTTACTTATGTTAAAGGTATCTATTCCAAAGCATGCATTCTTTAGACAATACAATTGTTTAGTGTTTACAGTATTTACACCTCCCAAGTTTTTCTTCAATTGTCAGTGGTTGGTAAAGCACTTGAATACTACTAGTAGCACAGAAGAAGAAGATCACCGACTCCCTGTGGCTAGCTTGTATATTTCGGAATTGTAAAACAAGTCAGAAATGAGTTCATCATAGGCCTATTTGTAAAAAAATAATGTGTTCTATAAAATATAATATTAAGAAAAAAGGCTTTCCCCAGAGACATTTTGGAACATTCTGGCCATTAACTCGTTCCCTTGTTTTTCCTTTAGAACAATGTTAGATCCTGGTGATGCGTGGCTTGTGTAGCTTGCAGTTTGAGAACACATTAGGATTCCTAAACTAGTATCATATTTTGTTTGAAAGTGGCTTGACACTGTGAAATAGCAAGAGGTAACTTTTAATGACTTAAACTTATGCTTTATGGCAATAGATACCAAAGGGATAGAGGATGTTAAAGACACTGCATGGGTTGCTTCTCTCTGATGTACCTCACTTCATGCTTTAGGATAATCTTTTTGATCCAATCCAATGTGTGCTTGCTTGGCTGGATGGCTGTGTATATATACAGTATATAGTAGTTTAATTGTTGTTCTTTTTTCTTCATTCCTTTGATATATGGGTTGGGTAGGGTCTTTGTGAATGGTGCTGTTATCCACAAGGTTAAAAATCATCTTATCATCCTTTTTGTTTATCCTTGAAATTACAGGGAAACATCAACAACTATATTTTGGGGGTGCTCTGTCCTTGGCACCTTTAAATGTTGCTTAATGCAGCTTTATTTGCAGCTACATGCATTAAAAGGACAAAATCATAGAAATCAAGGGGATTTTTTTATGCTAGGTTGGCATGGGTTCAGGTCGATTTCTTGCCATAATGGCACTATATTCATGTATGACTTATAGTGTACATACTGCATACAGAACGAGACAGCAAGAGTAAACATACATGTAGTCATAGTTTAACCATGAAGGCACTTCTTAAAACTGTAGCATTGCTCTGACATTAAAATGCTCATGTATACTAAATGTAAATAGCGAGTTAGAGAATTAGCCACTCGCCACCTCCAAATCTATTGTTCATCATTACAATGTGTAGAGGGTTGATTTTGGTAAGTAAGGCTGCACTTTCACCCTGCACTTTATGTCCATGCCCTGACTCTAGACAGAATTGGATTCCTTTAAATAAATTGTAGAGAGAATGCGAAACAATAATTGACAGAACACGGGTTATCTTGAAAAATCCACATAACATGAAACATTTTATTTGATTTACAATACTATTTTTTGTCAGCATTACTAGTTTTAAACTTGTTAGCATCATACGTTTATGATCTGTTTACAGATCATCTTCTAAGGTTTAACTCAGTGATTTACTCTTCTAAAGTATGTTCAATGTCTACCTGTGATCAAAAGGCAGCTTTTTCTATGTTTACATGTGGCTTCTTGTATGCTTTACTGGTGCCCAGCTAGCAAAAAAAACCTACTGTCTGTAACGTATTGATACTGGAAATTGTTTACATCTCGCAGTTGTGATATTGACTCTATACATTCCTCTATGAAATAATTCCTGTATATATTTATTCCTCAAAACCTTGAATGTTAAGACAAAGGCTCTCATTGAACAATATATCCTTTACATAGTACATGAAGGAGGAACATAAATAAACATACCGGTACTCAATTCACTTGAAATAGGCATCATAAAAGACAGGGTGTTCAAAGAGATGTAATAGGACAGCCTTACACAGTCTTTAAGTGAAGCAGCCATATGAACAAAAAAGAAAAAAGTCAGCCCTTATTGTGTGAGAGGTTTACTTGAAAAATCTAAATCATTGCTATTGTTTCCGACTGTGGGGATGTTTTTGTAAATTTTGTAAATGTACGTAATGAATGTCTATTTTTCTGCTGAAATGTTAATGAAAATATGTTTAAGTTTAAAAAAATGTTTACAAAAATCTAAGAGGCAGGGTTCAGGTGAATTGTATTTTATAAGAAATAATTTATGAAAAGTGTGTATTTTGGCACTGAATATTGAAATTATCCAGAAATGTGTGCCGATCTCTGATATTGATATCAACTTTCTGAATCGAGGGCTCTCAGGTATTTGAATAGGTTGTATATTTTTATGTCCTATAATATGTGATTTATTTATCAAAAAGAAGCTGGTCATTTTTCATGACTTGAATTAGTCCAACAGAGTGTGGTGAAGGAAGTTAGATAATTGATCAGTCCTGTTTTCAACATCAATGACATAACATGAAGACACACTCCAATGAAGAACACACTGTATATTTTTAAGGCATGGGTTTCTCTCTATTAAAGATATGATTTTACTGCCTTGCCTGTTTTGTGAATTTTGAAGAGAAGGAAGACAAACATATTGTTATATAGTTTAATCAAAACATGCAAACTGTATACTTACATACAATTAAAGATTTTATTGTGAGAAAAAATACATTGGTTGAATCTTGTGATGTGCAAGGGCCAGAAACGGAAAAAGGTTTAAATGTCTGGAGGAATGACTTTCTTTCTCTGCCACGGTTTAATCTACATGTTTTCTTGTTGTAACAGTAACCTTGATGCTAATCACCAAAGGAGAAAATCAGCCCTAGTAAAATGTAAACAATGTGGTTTTGTGCTGTTATGTCAAAATGGAAATAGCCAATGAGAGAAAGACAACATCATCGGGTGACATAATGGATTAGTAACTGTCTATTCACAGGATATTCAGACTTTTCGTCCTACTGTGTTCTATTTGAATGAAATACTTTTATCAGAAAAGCCAGGTCATAGTGTCTTGGATAATTACCACCCATGGAGCAAGTTATTTCTCACCACAGTTTATCTCTCTGCTTTTTAGCTGAATGATAACAACTGCTCTGTTCAATGTCATATGAATAACATGCTCTATGTGGAATTATATTCTGGGACAAATGTCCCGCTAAACTTTAATTGGTCAATTTCCTGGTCATTAATCATGAATAGGAAAAATGAAGCCCTGATTGTAAAGCACTGAGGGGTTTAGCCAGTTGGTAATTGTTGTATTTAAGGTCAGATAAATATATGTGATATGTTTTAATTGTGAAATGAAGGATATTCTATCAAAGGCAAAGTCATATAAATCAGTCTAAAACCAAAAATAGGCCTACAATTTTCCTTGGACACAATTATGTGTAATTATTCCAAAAAAAAAGAAAGTCTGGCCCAGCCTGTAATAGTACGGAGCCCTGGAGGGTTCATAGAGAGAAAAATAAATAAAACGTGGCCACGTTTTACTTTCTCGTGCGCACGCTTTAGTAACTCGTAAAGCGTGGCCTCGTTTTATTTAAATTGAGGGATTCCTGTCCTTGACTCACAGTATCTGCTGCCCACAGCTGTTTTATCGAAGGAAAACCTCCTTCACTTTATGAAATCTCAGCGGCACCAGTGGCCTGTACTACGAAGCAGGATTGGCTATTTACACTATTCATTCATGAAGTATGATGCTGCGCTGTCAGCACGCGTCTCCATGTTTGTGATTGGTCAAATGTTGCTAACCCCGTCCCTTTCACCTGAGCGCGCTCTCAGCCGGACAGAGAAACCCTGGTTGATTTACTGAGTTGATAACCAGCTTCGTAGGACCGCTTATCGACATCGCGTTTGTTAGGGTCAGTTAAGCCGGGTAAATCGAACATATCCAGGTCCAGGGTCTGTTGAACTGGCTTCGTCGTACAGGGCACTGGAGGCAGTAACGTGTAACTCAGCAGAATCTGAGAAGAGCAGCACCAGCTGCAAAGAGCTGTGCCTTTTACTGTTTACTTCACTGCGTTTCCCTTCATTAGAACCGCTGAATAGAGATCGAGGCTGCTACGTTTAACCACACACACCTATACACACATCGAACTACCAGAGTATTCTCCCTTGTTTTATGAAGGAGATGTCCTGTCAACGGGGCGCATGATGTGTGTGTGTGTGTGTGTGCTCAGCTCCGCTCTGTGTGCGTGTTCGTGTGTATCCGACACCACCGGCATTTGTTTTCAAATTACCACGAACAGTACTTTAAACAAATCTGGTTCCCCATAGTTAAGTGTATTCCCAAGTGAAAGAAATGTGTTTAATCTTAATCTCGATGTGCTATAGTCCTGCCGGAGTGTACCGGAACGAACGATACTATCATAAACAAATGCCCCCACACACACACACACACACAAAACGAGGCCATGCTTTATTAACTCGTGCGCACGCTTTAGTAACTCGTGCGCACGCTTTATTAACTCGTGCGCACGCTTTAGTAACTCGTGCGCACGCTTTAGTAACTCGTGCGCACGCTTTAGTAACTCGTGCGCACGAGTTACTAAAGCGTGCGCACGAGAAAGTAAAACGTGGCCACGTTTTATTTATTTTTCTCTCTATGAACCCTCCAGGGCTCCGTATAATAGAGATACATTCATGAAAAATAAAAAAAGTAATTACTTTCAGCTTCAATTGTTACACTTCAGAAATTGGCAGCTTCAGGTCCAGTAAAAGTGAAAAGCTCATCTGAGAAAGCTGGTGGCTAAACGCAATGTACTTATACAGTCGTACGTCTTCTATCTCTATGTAAAGAATAATGTATGACTCCTTACTGTAAAGCATGAACGCCTTGCCTTGGTTTGTATTGCAAAGACTTCAGTGTTTGTTCCTCTGCAGCCTTTGTTTATGAGCAGGTGGGCGCTAGAGTCTGTTGAAGCCTCTAAATGTCAGAGCAGTCTTCCTCAACCCCTTACTTCTTTAATCTGTGTATTGCACGCACATTCAAACAGCAAACACTCACAAAATCAAAGCTGCCTGAAGGCGGTAGCAAAACTGAGAAGTGTATACCCTGAACAGACCCCAAACTGTATCTTTTCATCTTCAGATTCCTCTTATTTACCTGCCTGTCAGTTAATCGTTTGTTCCCATCTAGATCATATCTCTGTTTGTACTTTTAATTCAGGGGTGACACACATCCCCTTAGTTTGTGGTGCTCTTCGTACAGAAAGCGTTTTTCTCAGACTTTGCGAACATGAAGGAAACTATTTATCAAGTCAAATTGAAGCTTTTATTTCAGAGGAATGCACTTCAAAACCGATCTGTAGCTAATTGTGAGCTCTGAGCCATATTCATCATCACTGAGGAGAAATAATAATCAATATTTCCTTGGTTTTGAGATCTGATTTATGGGGACAGTCAACCATTAGAATAATGCATGCTCTTCCTCCCACTGAGGGCTAAATCACCTCTTCATTATACATCCCTAATGACAACTACAGCTTGTTCATCAGTTGAGGATTGGATGTACAGTAATGTAATTAAATAGCTACAGTGGTAAAGAATGGCAGAGGACAGTCTGTGCTAAAGATTATCAAAGAAATCGCTGTATGATAAATAAATGATCACTTAAAGCTTTTTAAAATACGTCAGCCAAGCTATTAGTCATTCTCCATTTAAGTGTCAAACATGAAGTAAGAGGTGATCTTTTAGTTAATGAAATAAGGATTTCTTCATAATAATGACCTCTGTGACCAAATAATATAGTTGTGTGCAGCCATTTTTTTCTTCTTCTCAGATCAGGGGTCTTAGACAGCTTTGTGGTTCTGGTGTCAGGACTTCCTCTGGCGGGTCATAATGCCTGTGTCACTAGTTCTGCAGATCCTGTTGGACGATAAGAGCTGTCTGGAGGTGTCAAAAGCATTACAAAGTACAGCCTCCACACCTATGTGCTCAGACACACTTTACACACTCAGAAAACCCCAAAACACACCTTATTCTCACAATGGGGTCTGACAAGCATTGAGCCAGTACACCATGTTAAAAAAAATTATAAAATGTATGACTATACAGAAGTATAATATTTGGTATTGTAATTTTTACATTAGAGGAAAAGCATTACTTTATATTAAATAAAACATATGTCCAGATAATGTATATACTATACAAGATTAAAAGTGATCCATGATTGTCACTGAATTTTTTAACAACGTTGCAATCAATGTTGCTATCTTCTAAGACACAAGTAGCGTGGCCTGCCCTCTGGGTTTCAGGTTACAGCGCAGGGAGCAGTTCCAGAGCTCTTTCAGCCGGGTATGAATCCACAGCACGGTTGTGCAATCGATGAGTGACTAGACCTATTCCTGTTTTTCCTGCCAGGTAGTGGTGGATGCTAGGACTGGCCCTTAAAACTACACAAACACCAGTGAAGACACAACCCACACACACATCAACCTACACTCAAACACACCCATTCTGTTTCTGTTACACACCCATATTTTATAAGTTATCAGGTTGGTTGAGGTGCTGCAGAAATGTGGTATCACATGCTGTAGCTTTGGTAAGTGTTTGTGATGATGGTGTTTAATGTCATTTGAGAAACTGGGAAATGTGTTATGCAATTCAGTTACTGATCTCACTTTTGACACATTGGAGGAGAGACAGTGGAAGGAGTGGTGCTACAAACCTTGAGAATCCGTGGGGGGCACTGAAAACTAGCATGGGATGTTTCCTGTCTACTATGCCTACTCACTTGACTTCTGTAAGATTTGCAGTTGTAGGCAAGGTTTTAGTCTCTCCCTCTCCCCCAGTGACACTAAGGCCACGTTTACACAGAGACAAAACGGGTTGTATCCGCTATCCGCTATCATATGGACGGTTCGTCCACACGAGGCCTTAACGGAACCGCGGAAACGGAGCCCTCAAACGATAACGGCTCCCAAGGTGGGTAGATCTGCGGACGAAACGCTCTGGGGGGCCAAACGGCCCCGTGTGTACGTCCTATACGATCATTTCCTGATAACGATGACGCCATAGCCCCGCCTCTCCCCACCTCTGCTGCTCACCCCCGCGTCATTGCTGATGTGTTTCGCCAACAACAACAACAATGGCGGATCACAGGGTTGCTTTCGTGCTCCAGACGCTACTGACCATGCTACAGATGTTAGTACAAAATCTACAGCTCCTCTATCACAACCATCAGCGACAAGTGGACATGGAGAACTACATGAACTACATGTTGCTAAATCCACCACGGAGAATAAACAGAAGGGCAACCAGGCAACCATGGCAACTATGCTCGGTGGGTCTTCTTCACTGCTTTTGGTGTATTTTGTGGCGGAAGTACAGCGCCACATACAGGCCCGGCATATGTACTACAACGTCTCCAGCGGGTCGAGCGGTCTCGTGTGGACGGACATGTTTCTTGAGCCAATTCCGTGTAAACGTGGCCTAATTTGTTGCCTTGTCCCACCTGCACAAACATCAGCAATGCTTAATTTGCATGCATGAAGCGTGACTGCAGTCTTATTTTATAACTGTTGCGGCATCAAATACAAGTTTCCTAAACATTATAATGCCATGGTGAAGCATAGCCCTAGATACTGAATATACGATACAGAAATAACGTTACATTACATGTTACTTGTTAGACGCTTTTATCCAAAGCGACTTACATACTCAATAC